AGATCTAAAGACTTATTAAAGACGTAAATAGTAGCTTAAATTTAATACTAAAAGCTATACTAATTAAATAAGCTCTTAACTATATTCTTAATACTTTTTTTATAAGTTCTTCTAGCGTTAGTAAGTCTAAAGCTAATCTTATTACTAGTTATATTACCTTACTACCTTACTAAAGCTTAATTAAGCCTCTTATTATTACTATATTAATTATTTTTCTCTTAAACGCGTTACTCTATAAGTTCTCTTAAAGTTATTATTCTAGAAGCTATTATAGAGGCTATTATAAACTACTATATTTATACTATACTAAAGGCTGTTATAAGCGCTCTAAAAAGCTACTTTACTAGTATAGAGCTATACACTAGGCCTATTAATATTTCTATTACCTCTATTTCTATTACTTCTATCTCTATTATCTCTACTATGTATATAGTTAGCGTAAGACCTTCTATTATTCTCTTTTCTATTCTTACTTTTAAAGAGCTTATTAGTAAGATATATAAGCTCTTTAGTAGTTATAGTTTTTTACCTAGAAGAGAGATAAAATAGAAAGACTATTCTATTAACTATCTTACTAAGAAAATACTTTTAATTAATTACGCTATTACTATCTATAACTAAGCATATAAAGTAAAAGGTAAAGTAATACTATCTCTTTTTCTAGCTCTATAGAAAGCTATACTCTAGTAAAGAAATACCTTAGCTAGAATACTTTGCAAAGATAATAAGAGCTAGTATAGTAAGAATATAGTGTTTATAGATTACTTTATATAGTAAGATACTATTTATTAGATAGTAGCTATAATAAACTACTATAACTTCTATTAAGATCTAGGCTATAAAATAGTTATTGCGTTATAGTTATTAGCTAGTTAGCTTCTATAAAATAGATACTATAAGGCCTAGTATAGTATTTTTATTACTACTATATTATATAGTTCTTAACTACTATATAAACTAGAGAGTATATAAATATATATAGTTATAGTCTATATAAGTATTAGTGCTAATAGTAATATATACTAAATGTCTTAAAATCTTAAAATCTTCTAGCTATTCTAAGATAGTAGCTAGACGTCTTTTAATATTTTTTTACTAAATAGAGTCTGTAAAATTAGGTATAAGATACTAGTATTAATACTATATTCTATATAACTAATATATTAATAAGAGCTAAGAGTATAATACTCTTAGTAAAGAATATAGAACCTATTAAAAAGAAGGTGTATAGTATACTTAATAAAAGTGTATTTATTTTAATTACCTATATTAATATAATTAGTAAGATATATATATACAGGCTTATTATAATAATAAGTATAGTAATAGTTATTTAATAATCTTATAATACAGGTGTAAGAAATGTAACTTACTTTGTGTTAATTTACTTACTATGTACCTCTATCTTGAGAGATCTCCGCTACGCCTCGACGGCACTGGCTTTTGTTGCGAGACAGAGGACGCAGATCATGTTGTTGACATGTCGTGTTTGAGTAATAGATTGCGCGAATCGCGAATGCAAAGCTAGAGAAGGGCTTTCAACAGTAACGCAGCTACTATAGTCGCCCGAAGGCATGGGATCCATGGGAGGGCAGGAGAAATTGTTGGGAAGCGGCAGTATGACTCTTACCCTACAGCCTACGTGCTCGTTTTCTGGCCTGGCGTGACGTCGACATGTGAATGCACGTCTTCGTTCGGCATCCCTTGGTTCCGATAAGGGTAAATGTCAAGTCTGGCACATGTTTGGCGCCGCAGATAGTTGTGGGTCAGGGATCACGGCGATACAGCTGCCCGTGGCGCGCGTGCGATAGGATGGGCGAGTGCGGTGCGGGCGTAGGGAGCTGCCGCATCGAGCAGCGTGGTGGTGTATAGGCAACCAAGTGCGAAGGTGCTGCGCTGAGCGCTGAGCGGCTGAACAAGGAGCGGGCGCAACGACGTCTTTCGATTCGCCATACAGGGTTTCGGTGGTGGGCCTAGGAACTGTGTGGCCCTGCGGACCGTTTTCCAGAGGGGCTAACTCAATTTTTTTTGTTGCGCTGGGTACTCTCAGCGACCACGACGACGCCTGAGTCTGACAGCATTGCAGTGCAGCCAGCCAGCCCTGACCACCTTACCCCAACCCGGCTTCTGCCCTAGCCCTATCTATCGCATCCGCCCTCCCATACAGACCTGACCCGTCCGTCTTATATCTCGACGCCGCCCCCTCCCCTCGTCCCATCATGTCCGCTCCCCACGACACGCCCGCCCACAGCACCCACCCCATCAACACCACCACGTCCGCCGACCCCCCACTCAAGGGCGACGCAACCGCCGCGCACCCTCCCCCGCAGAAGCCCGACCCAACCCTCGAGTCCAACAGCCATGGCCCCTCCCAAGGCGGACAGTCCACCCCCCGTCCCTCCGCCGCCGCCGAACTCGCCCGTCTTAAAAGCACGCTGAAGGCCTCGCTCCGCCAGTTCAAAGACTTCCCCGAACCCGGCATCCTCTTCGAAGACATCCTGCCCATCTTCGCCGACCCCGCGCTGCACGAGGGATTGCTGCGCGGTCTCGAGCTGTCGATTGAGAAGCAGTTCGGCGCGACAGGTGCCAAGCCAGATGTCGTCGTCGGACTCGATGCGCGCGGCTTCCTGTTCGGGCCCAGCCTTGCGCTGAGGCTGGGCGCGAGTTTTGTGCCCGTCAGGAAGAGGGGCAAGCTGCCGGGTCCGTGTGAGACGGCGGAATACAAGAAGGAGTATGGCAGTGATTTCTTCCAGATGCAGGAGGGCGCTGTCAAGAGCGGGCAGAATGTGCTTATTGTGGATGATATTATTGCGACTGGTATGTGATATCGTTCGCATCAGAGACGAGACGAGATGCTAACACGACACAGGTGGCTCCGCAGCCGCAGCTGGTTCTCTGGTGAAGAAGCTAGGCGGAACTATCATGGGATACCTTTTCATTCTCGAACTCGATTTCCTCAAGGGCCGCGACCAGCTCGACGCGCCTGTACACACATTGCTTTCGGGCCAGGAGGAGAAGATGGAGCAGTAGGGGTGTAATACTGAGACGGCTGGTAATCTTCACTCTTGGAATCTCGACTCGATACCGTAAACAATACACAATATAGATGGGGGCATAGGATTGCATTTGGGCGGCGTTGGTGGTTTGTATAGTCACGACATGACGCGAGGGAAGCGCGAGGATATCACGATAAATACGTCAAAAGTTTCTTTACTGGTGTACGCACTATCGAACGAGCATTCCCACACTATGTCATTGACACTGAACTAAGCCCTGCGCCCTGCGCAACACGACAGCGGCGCCATACCCTCTTTCCCCGTCGCAAAAGTCGCCGTCCCCAAAATTTCCGCCCTCATTACCCCTCCATCAACAAAAACATCCCTGCAAGCTGCTGACACGCAGCGCCCGCCCAAGAGGGAAAGTGGGGTAGCTTCCGATGCCGCTCCCAAGCCCCATCTTATGTCACGGGTATAGGGCGGACGCGCTCAATTAGGTGTCCACCTAGCCCGATGATAGCCTCGATTTACCTGACGTAGATAAACGGTCCCATGCTGCTGATACGCACGGCGGTACCAAGAGCTCTGCGTGCTTTACGACCTCTCACTGCTACAACCACGAATCTTACGCGACCTGCTATCACAACTTCACCCTACAAAGCAATTGACATCAAAGGAATACGAAAGATGTCCGATATCAAGAAGATTCACACCGCTAACGCGTGTCCTCGTACGTTCCAATTGATAGCGGAGAGCGGAAGGAGAGATAGCTAACAGATATACAGCTGCCGGACCCTACGTACGTCCCTCCTCCATCGGTCCCATCGCATCCGAACATCCACGTTAACGTCACCGTCTAGACACAAGCCATCGTCGCAGGCCCCAATGTCTTCGTCTCGGGCCAGATCCCCGCCGATACCAAGGGCAACTTGATCGAGGGCAGCATCGCGGACAAGACCAAGATGTGCTGCGAGAACATCAAGGGCATTCTCACTGAGGCGGGTGTTGCTCTGGACAGGATCGTCAAGGTGCGTTTAGTCCATTCGGATACAACCCCGGAATCTATGCTGGAAACATAGTGGAACAAGGCTGACGACAAGTCTAGGTCAATGTCTTCCTCGACGACATGGCCAACTTCGCCGAGATGAACGGCATGTACGAGCAGTACTTCTCCCACAAGCCTGCGCGCAGCTGTGTTGCCGTCAAGCAGCTGCCCAAGGGTGTGCCGGTCGAGATTGAGTGCATTGCGTATACTGGTATGAGCTCGAAGCTTTAAGGCGTGGAGCTGATGTTGATGATGCATAGGTTGAACGACGATCCGCTGAAGCAAGGCTGCTTTGGAATACTGTGGACAAGTTAAGAAGACTATAAAGACAAATGTTCAATAAGAAGCACATAATTGCTAAGGTTATCTTAATCGCCGAGATGTCGTCCCTTTGCCATGCTCGAAATTACATGCCAGATGGCCTTCTCTTGTTGAGCCGACACGAAGTTGGAAGGCTTGGGAAGGCTGATTGCTAGCGCCGCCACAAGACGCCATGCTAATGTATTACGCTCAGCCTCACTGCACTGCCCCGCTTTGGCGTCGTTGTCACCACAACATGTATCCCTTCCTCGCCCAAAGGCAACAATCATTAAACATTCGATCTAAATTCCTCCGGCTTATTTCCCAGGATCCTATATTAACGGTAACATGCGCCTTTTGCGAGCCTCTGGCGACGACTTCGTACTCGTTGAGTTTGTTCGCTATATACCAACATACGCAATATTATCACATACCTGGGGCGCCGACGAGGATGAAGTCACATTCAAAGACATATACAAGGGCAAGGCTAAGGCCAAAAACAAGCCCGGCTACGCCAAGCTCCAATTCTGCGCCGCGCAGGCCGCTAAAGACAAGCTGGAATTCTTCTGGGTTGATACATGCTGCATCGACAAGAGCAGTAGCGCGGAATTGGCTGAAGCCATTAATTCGATGTTTAAGTGGTATCGAGATTCGACAGCATGCTACGTATACCTCTCCGATGTACCCAGCACAGGCACCCCGTATTTGCAGAGCAACAAGCAGCCATCTTTCAAGGGTAATCGATGGTTCACACGTGGATGGACGCTTCAGGAGCTTTTAGCACCAAGGACTGTTGTCTTCTTCAGTGTGGACGGCACAAGAATTGGAGACAGGTCTTCCCTTGCAAAACAAATTGCAGGTGAGACGAGCATCCCTGTAGCCGCATTGGAGAACGGTCCAGACTTTATGCTCAAGTATCCTGTTGAAGAGCGCATGGACTGGGCAAGATATCGTCACACGAAACGCGAGGAAGATGCCGCCTACTGCCTTCTTGGCATTTTCGAAGTTCAGATGCCGCTCATATATGGCGAAGGCAAAGAGAAAGCTTTTGGTCGCCTGCAAAAGGAGATCGAAGATGTGTATGGCAGGCGTGACTGGGTTGACAACCTCTTGCATCGGTACGAGCTCCCATTGTTGCAGGTAAGCATATGTACCCAAATTTATTATCCGGCGTGAGATCTAACCTTACTCCTAGATCCCTTGGGCTTCTATAGGCCACGATGTTGCTGGAGCTGTGAAGATTTTTATCATTCTCTGTACAATCGTCATCCTTGCCTTCGCGATCGTGTACGACCTTCCACTGACGATGTGGTTTCTGGGATGGGCTGTGGGTGCGACACCATTCTATCTCTATCGCTGCACCCGGTGGAACAGGCCAGAACAAATCCTTATTTTCTCTCTCATAGCAGTCGTCTGCTACGTGTTTGGAAAGCTTATCTGTCTACAGAGAGAACTGCAGAGACTGAACGACGTCGTACTTGATAACGCAATGATGCAAGGCATAGACCAGCAAAGCATACATGTGCGAGAGATCATGCGGCACATCCGGAAAGAAGTAACATAGATAGGTACAAGCTGCGCTTTGCTCGCGCATTGGGAATGAATTATGCTCACCTGGGCAACAAGTCTGCAGCATGTACAAGGTCGCTCACATACGGAAATTACCACTTACAGATATCGGTAGCCGATTCAAGGACATTAGAAGACCGCACACATTGCCATCAGAAAACCAGTTTCTACCACATTCCTGCTGCCGAGGTGATCAATTCGTTCTGCATCAGCACTTCTGGGCGACAAGCCTCACGTTATCAACCGTCTGTCCAAGATTGACTAGAACCCGTTTACAATTGGTCTCAAGACCGAGCGGGAAGGCGTGCAAAGTGCCCAAGTCTCTTGGGGTCGGGGAGAACGTCTGGGATAAATTTCCGGGTAAAGCTACGTGACGAACATTGCCGCTTCGGGAAACATGACACAACGAGCACTATGGGATAACACAGAACTCTCATAAGATGCTGTTGTGCCTCGAGAACATTTGGGAGGCTTTCATACTCACATCCAGCGAGGTGTCATTGCAGTCATGCGCTGCCTAACCCTAGCGATTATTGTCCTGCAACTCGCACTCCAGCATGCATCAGCGACAGTAGGCGTCCTTGACATCGACGACCTGCTACGATCAGATCTCCAACAGCACCTATCCACTCCAAGCGAAGATCATCCGTATGCGCCATGGTCTCACAAACCGTACTGCATGACTAGCAGCTATCTCCCCACCCTCGGCCAAAAGTATTGCGTCTACATCTCCAACACGACGGGCCCACACGGCCTCTCCCTGATCTTTCCCCCAAGATCCGCCCATCTAGCGTTGGAATATCTCGACGACAACCCGCTCGATAATTTCCTCACACAAAAGGATGCTGAGCGCCTCTACTTCGGTGGTCAGCCATGGAAAATCGTCGACATACCCGGAAAAGCGAAAGGCGTAGTGGCCACTCGAAAGATCAAGATGTACGAGACCTTCATGGTTGATCAGGCCGCTGTTGTTGTGGATATGGGGGCGGAGAAAGCGTTGAGTGAGGCTGAGAATAAGAAGCTGATGAAGAGGGCTGTGGATCAACTGCTCGTGCCGGCGATGATTAGGGATATGAGTTCTGCGCATTCAGGGAAAAGCCATGAGGGTGAAAATGATGGAGATGGCGAAGAGGAAGGAAGCTTAGAAGAAGCCATCATGAAGACGAATGCGTATGGTAGTACGGTTGCGGAGGTCAGCTCAAGGGCGTTGTATCCGCTGATCTCGGTAGGTTGCGACACAGTCTAAACGGCAACATGAGTATCACTGACAGTAGCAGCGCATCAATCATGCATGCAACCCAAACTCCTTCGTTCTCTTCTCCCGCGCAGGTGTCTCAATGGCCATCAAGGCCTATCGCGACATTGAAGCCGGCGAAGAGATCACCGTCTCTTGTAATCTCCACCATCTTCCTTCCTGTTCTTGTGCTAACGCCACCTAGACCTCCTCTTGGGTATCCCATTTCAAAAACGCCAGTCTCTGATAAAGCGCTGGGGGTTCAAATGCACATGCAGCCTGTGTAGCCTCCCCACTGACGAACGCCAAGCCTCAGATCTCCGCCGCACAATGATCGCGCAAGCCGAGGAGAAGATCATGGAGCTGGCAAAGGCCTACAAACTCGATGAAGCCATAGTCCTCGCAGAGGAGTCCGTCGAACTGATCAAAGAAGAAGGAGTCTGGTCGATGTTGACCGATGAGTATGCCATGTTGGCTATGCTATGGTTGGAGAAGGGCGATAAGGAGAAGGCAGAAGCGTATGGCGAGAAGACGCATAGGTTGTTGTCCGATTTGGGGTTTTTAGGTATTGGAGAAGATAGGGAGGCGTGGAAATTAGAGACCCTCTTAAAGAATATTGGAGGTTTGGGAGGAATAGGTCAGCTTTGGAAGAAGGGCCCTTTGAGAGGGTGAATCGGACGGATAATGGAATAGAATGATCGTTTGGAATGTAGGTTTTGGGTAGGGTGACGAGAGAAAGTTTTCTCCGTGTCTAGACCTGAGAAATCTAAACACTTCCGTGCTTCCTTCTGTAGTGACCTGTCGTGCCGATCGGTCCTGCTCCGCCCTTCTCGACCCAACTATCCACGCCACCTAGTCTTCCTTGCGTAGGTGGCGCTGGATTCTCACCGCGCTCAACCATTGGATGGTGGAGACCTACCTTCTGCGACAAAGCGATATGTATCTCATCTGGCGACTTGTTCGCCCACGCTCTGGTGCTCAGATACGAAAGGGGGTACAACGGCATGTTTTCTTCACGACTCATGAAGTCGTTGACCAGAGGTGCAACGCGTGACATGATGATGTCAAGGTCTTGGCGGATTTGCTGGCAGAACGCATCGAGTGGTAGGTCATTGACGTCGTGTCCGAAAGGGTCTTCGATCTCACGACCGATAAAAGCGATGCCCAGGATGATGTACGCTGCAACCACACATGCAGGAATGGTGATCCATCCTAAGCTGTTGTAGCATTGGAAGGGCAGCAACAGAATGTACAGCCATGTAACCTGGGATATGGCGATGGAGTACGCAAGTGGAAGCGGTGTATTCAGGATTCTCTCCGTGCCACATGACACCTCGTCCATTATTGTCAGCGAGTCCAAAGTCTGGGTTTGATAGATGCTGTAGTCTCTCAACGTGCCGTTGTCGTATAGGACTTTCATGTACGCAGAGAGGTGAGATAAAATCTCAAGGGGTAGGTCACCGAGAGGTACGCGCGATTGCTTGACATGTTTGCGTGGGTTGGGTGTCGCCATGGGCATGCCGAGTAGCTGACAAGTCCGCCTGAAAGCGCTCGGAGGGTCGGGCGCGGGCATATCTGCTGCTTGCGCGAAGGTATCCAAATGGCCGACTAGGTGCTTCAGATCCTCATAATGCGTTCCTGGCTCAAACCGTAATTTGTGTTTCACTGCGACAGCGAAAGCCACAATCAGGTTCAGGCAGCCGACCTTGCCGAGTAGATCTTGCTTCCCCAACCCTGCATCAGCAGCATGCCTCTCTTCAGCGTGTATCCATATCAGACGAGCCAAGATGTGCGATGCGAGTCGGAGGCGCCCCCAAAGTTGTCGACCTTGGAAGTAGCGGTCCATCGAGGTAGAACTGCGGACGCTGAGGGCCAGACTGACGACAAAGCCTAGTACGGTGATGAAGACTTGGTCGGTTCCAACTGCGTCATGTTAGAATAGGGCTTTATGGTACAGGAGAAAGAGGATATGGCTTACGGTCATATACAAGCTTCGAGATGCAAGTGACAGCGGTGGCCCACCCACCTACCAGCAAAACGGGTATGACAAGCTTTGGAGTGATGCTGCCGTGAAGTCGCAGCATCATCGGGAACTTCGAGTGATGACTGAGGTCGCGCGGCCCCATCTACCCTCCTTAGCAAGTTGCGCGTCCATATACTGCTTGATCCTCTGCAGGTAACATACGAAGTATCCATCGCCAGACGATCTCGGCATGGCTCTTCACTCGTATGGATAGGAGAGATAGAAATCGCGGCGATGTGTGATTAGACGAGTGTCGAGGAAGCTTAGGTGAGATAGGATAGGATCTGTGTGGGAGTGTAGCGACATGGCTGTGCGATCGTTTCGACGACGTTGTGGCAGTCATCTGTAGGAGTAGCAGGTACAATGTGTAACGCAAAGCTACTTGCCCTTTCCCTCTGTTACATGAAGGTCGCGCCTACCTGCAGATGAAGTAAGTTCGGTGGCATCGGCGTCTTCTTCGAAATCTGCAAGAAACATTCGTCGCTCGCACAGAAGCAGACGCGTCATGTCATAGGTGGTGATGCGGCCGGTAATGTATGTATGAGTCTGTCCTGATTGCGGGCCTTCATCTTCTCAGTGTCGATTGGCAGACGTCGTACAATAGCGGAATCATACCCGCGACTGCTGCTAGCATGGCATACGCGCAGCGAGAGAGCGGGGAAGTTGTGAGAGGCGTCGCTGGTGTGATGAGGCGTCACGCGTTCCGCTTGAGGCCCCACTTAATGACGTCACGCGCTCCGAAGCTCGCGTCAAACTTCACGCGGACGAACCTCAACTACCCAGATGCTACTCAGTACGCGCACCACATCTTCACGATACTCTTACTTCCAACGGAATCGCAGCAAGTGGATTCACAACTGCGATTGATGCTCATAATCCGTAACGAGCCGGCGCGGCACAGTCTCGTTATGTACAGCCAGACAAATCGGCCGTCAGCCTCAAAAGTTGTATTGCGTCACTGATATTAGGCATAGGACCTAGCCAAAGCGCCCAAGTCTGCAAGGAAAAAGGATCGATTTTTCAAAACTATCAAGCCCTCTTTACCACCCGCTCCAAGGGAGAACGCTGTGCACCAAACCTGGTTGCGACGAGCGGAAAACTGAACTCACAAAGGGACAACCACACATACCATGAGAGAAGCAAAGCAAATATTACCGCAGTGAGCATACCATACGCCTTCCCTCACCTGAGGAAATGCGAAATCACGAACCGAATCAACACCGCGCCTCAAAGGTCACTGCGTCTAGGTCCTCCGGGTGCGGCTTTTCTGCGGCTCTTCTACATCGGACGCGTCCTCGGAACTGTAGCGAGTACGCTTGCGACTAGTTGCCGGCGTAGGCGCCACTACGATGGTCAGTGTAGTTCATGGTGCCTGATGATAGACCTACAAATCTGCTTTTTCTTCCCGGGCTTCTTGACGAGCCGATCTTCGCGCTTTCGGCCAGCAGTAAGGTCTTTCTGACGCTCGTCGTTCTGTTGGCGGTTGCTCGAGCTGATCTGGAGAAGAGTATCCGGGCATAACACGTACTCCTCGACACATCCTCCACGCAACAGCTTGTCGACACGGCTCTTGTAGGACTTCAACACTACGACAAGTTTCGAGATACGCTCCTCGAACGTGAGCTTCCGTGATTTCTCGCAGCGATCGATCATGACAGGATCCAGGATCGAAACGAACCCTGCGCCTTCTCGATAGATGCGTTCAGTTGTTTCCTTGTTCATGTTAGCGCCGGTAATTGCGTATGCTATAGCGAGACTGACCAAGATATCCCAGCAGAGACGCTCTTTCACCCAAGGTTTGTACACTGTATTGGTAGCGATCTTCTGTGTGCGTTTTGTCTCCCCAGCGTTTCCAACCCCGTCTTTGCTCGACTCTCCTGCACTCTCTGCGAGCCAGCGCTTCTTGAGCATGGGGCTCGACATCTTGTCCTGGATGTCGCTGGTGTCTTGGATAGCTGCGAAGAGCTTACGAACAACTGCTATCCGCTCTTCTTTGGTGTTTGGGAGAGTCTCGTCCTCACGAGGTGGCCAGTCCAGTCCCCGAGCTTTCTGGCGGGCTTCGGTGACTTCGGTGAAGTACAGACCGAACGAGTTCAGTGGCAGTGGTTGTCGCTTGGTCTTCTTCGCATTTACGTTGGTCTTCATCTTTGTCTTGTGAAGCGAATCACGGCGCTTAGTTCCGTTCACCGCAGCGGGAGGTTTCTCTTCCTCTTCCTCTTCGATTTCCACAATCCTACTCTTGGTCTTCGTCTCTGCCTTTCTGGACTGAACTGGACTGTGGACCACGGGCGCCTCTTCGGACTGTCGGCTCGCCCTACTTCGCGGAACATACTCTTTCCAACGGCGATTGTTGTTGTCGCAGTGACCAGCAGAGACTGCGTCTTCGAGCTGCGATTGGCGGAGTGTTGAGGCCATCAAGACTGCACCTTCGGGCGAAGCGGGAAGGGATCGTGGAAGCCCTGTAAAAGGACCAGCATCATGGAAATTCTTGAAAGCAGACACTTGGTCGTTGTCGTCGAATGGCCAGGCCTCGCTGCCCCAATGAGTTGGGTATGATTGACGATGAAATGGTCCGTGCGTTGTCGCGATAGTGTCAGTCTGACCAAGCCACATCGGAGGCGGGCAGATAATGTGTTCTGATGAGCCTGAGAAATACTGGGGCCTCTGATGCTGACGGTCTATAGCGACCTGCGACGCTTCCCACTCATGGACTTGATGGTCTGGAATCATCATCCGCGCGTCGCCTCGATCGATACCGAAGACGTCCCATTCGCCTTGATCGTATGGGTGATATATACTTGAAGACTGACTGAATGGGGCAACATCCGTCTGCGACGATGTTGTCACGGAGGACGAAGCGGTTGAAGGAAGCATTTCGACAGCGATGTATGTGGTGGCCAGTAGTGAATTGGGTCGGTGATATCAATATGGACTCGTTCACGATGTAGAAACAAAGGATTTAATCAAAAGGTGCGTATATAGAAGTAGTTGTGTTGTCTTATTTGCGACTACCCGCTGACTAGTACTGGTCGGGTGGCGCTCTGACCAGTGTGATGTAAGAAGAAGGTACACTGAGCACGACCGCTGCAATGACAAGCACCACATCGCTGCGTCTGAAGAGCTATCTAGAACTATATTGCGATAGAGATACTGCGGAAGCTCAATGTGTTGACAACTTTAGGTATCTTCACACTGCTCTACAACCTGCTATATGTATTGTTCCAGCGCGGCGACGGTCTGGAGAAAAGATCACGTGGGAGCGAAGGCTCTTGACCCCGTGCTTGAGAACTCAGTCGTCCCTGACTTCTCCGCAAATGGCCACCTGGGCACTGACGTAGAGTCACGTGGGAAATTTCCGATTAACGATGTTGTTCGATGTGACAATGTCGAAATGGTCGCATCCATAGCTCTAAGTATGGCAACGACCGAGCTCTAAGCTAAACTCCAAATCGGACTCCTTCGGAACCATGTTCGCCTTGCAACCGCCGCCGGACATACTTGTCACGATTTTACTGCTACTGCCCGATGTATACTGAGCGCTCTGCTAAGGTCTCTCATCCGTTGGTCCGATCGCTCGCCGGAGTTTGGGTGGCAGATCTAGTGCCCATGGTGCTACCTGGGCGGTGACCTTCTTCATACTGGAACTTCT